TAAATAAATTTTCTTAAAGCATTTCTTAATTTATTTAGACATCAAGGTGTATTTATGAACATATACCAAAAATGCACAATAACTTCTACAAAAATTACAGTAGCTCACATATCCTCTCAATAGTCTACTGTACAAATTTCATACCATTTGCATAAGTATAGCTGCCTCTATGAAAAAGATAATTTGCTATTGCAAGAAATCATGTGAGAGCGAGATAAACCAAAAACTCACTCATAATTCATCCAATACTCATGAAATTTTACCACACATCAACTATCACATGAGTAGCATGCCACAAAATTTCACTTCATTTGGAGCCCTAGATTTGCAGTTATGGAAAATAACAAATTCAACTAGCATTACAACCTTACTGTACAAATCTATTTTTGTAGCTAAAACTTTAAACTAAAACATGCCATATTATAGATCTACTGCATAGACAATTTCACAAGGATTCCAAAAGTCCTCATTTGCTATTATACGAATTTCCTATGAATTACTATGAATTTTCAAAGTTCCAGCCGATTTCAAAGCAAACAGGTCCAAACGGCACTATTCACATGAGTCTACGGTTCTGAAAAGACCCTCACAAATCTCGAATTTGAAGACGAAGTCCTGGTCGCGATTTTGAGCAGAGGGCCGCGGAGAGACACGATTTCGGCGGGGTGATGCTCGTGGCGGCAATTGAAGGGGTGGTCGGCGACGGGGGGTGGAGGCGAGCTCGAGGATGACCGCAGCTTCGGCCGGAGGTGGCCCGTGATGACCAAGCCACATGAGCCAGCGGCTCGTGGCAAGTGAGCAAAGACGGCGGCGAGGAGCCTCAACGTGCCCTGTTGATAAGACGAGCAACCGACTTGCTTACGAGCATCACGGCACAAAGGTAAGCGCAAAACAAGAGAGAGAGCGATGGCGAGAGCGGCGGAATAAGGGCGGCCACAGCGGAGAGCGCGAGCTCGGCAGCCATGACCGGACGACGACGCGAGGAAGAAGACGGCTCGCTGATGACTTCGATGAAATTGACGGGCGGAGCGAGTCAAAGTGCTGCGCGCACGGATGTGGCGAAAGCTTTCAGTAGCGCTCAAATCGGCCAGAGGATGAGCAGTGGAGGTGGTGTTACGGCAAGAATGGACGACATGACGGCGAACAAAGGAAATGAAAAGGAGGAGAAGCGGCTGACGGCACAAGCTATAAAAAGACGGCCAGGAAGCAAGAGGAAACCACACGAAGAGTCTTCTCCGTGCCAAGACGACGCCGAGGGCGGCCACGGTCGCGCGCTGGAAGCGGAAGAAACTCGCCGTCGGTGAGGTGTCGCCCGCAGTCTTCATTCACCGAAATTACAGAAGCGCCACTAGTTTTTGAAACCCAAATTACTCCCAAATTTGTATAACAACTCAAAAATCTCCAAAAATAAAAGTTGTTCAAAATTAAAAGTTCTACAACTTTGCTTTTGTAACCATACCCAAATTCGGCCTACATTTTGAAATGCAAATTTGAATTCAAAGCAGGGGACATTTAAAGAATTACGCCTTTTCAAATTACTTCAAATTTTACTAAACAACTTTGAAAACTCCAAAAACAAACTTTGTACAACTCGACAAGCTCTACACTTTTGCTTTAAGGCCCAACCCCAAAATGTGCTTTGATTTTGAAATGGGTTTTCGGGATAAAATTAATTGCTAGAAATCGGGGTTTTGAAAATTCAAATTAAAACCCAAGATTTCAAACTTGATTCAAACCATTCCACTCAACACATACAACATAAAAGTAAACTTGTTTTAGGAGATTTTTACACCAAAAATTCACAAAGCTATATAATCACCATTATTGACATTATTTCATGTAACATATAAAACACTTTATAAACAACATTTACATGCTATAAATTAAACATGAAATGCATTAATAACTTGATGCTTGATGATTATGCATAATGATGACATGATTAATTTCTTAATTACTTTTTAACATCTGGGATGTTACAATGCATCCCCCCACTTATATAACATGCCTCTCCATCGAGTAACCAAGGTAAAAGTTGATTGGCATGGCATACATCCTTACTAAGGACATGTTTAGTGCATCTAGTCATTCCTCATGTCTTTGAGGCTCATTCATGAAAATCAAATGAATTTGATGCTTGTATGGTACCATTGTTGCTTCTATGCTTGACTTTATCTAGTGGTAGCATATGACATGTTTGTGGGCTTGTGAACCTAGTGTTTGATCTAGAAAATGAGCTACACGTGTTTAACTCAACATGGTACAAGATAACCCTTATTCAGAGGTGTGAAGAAGCTTATCCTTGGATCAAACCGAGTTAAATATCTTTGGCAAGTGTTCTAGATTGGACCAATTTTAGGAAAATGATCCTCACCCCAATGATTGACATTGATAATCTTAACCTATCTAAAAATGAACCTTTGTGATCATTGATGACAAAGGGGGAGAAATTGCACAAAGATAAGGTTAAATGACAAACGGGGAGAATTTTGACATAGGGGGAGAGATATGAGAAAGTAAGGGGATCAATTAAAATTTTGAGCACACAAGTAGGGGGAGCAAGCTCATAAACTTTATTGGTGCATTTGTATGTGTATTTCACATGTTTGCTTGCATGGCACAAGTTTTAAATTTAAAATTCCATGCTTGTGTGGTGTATGCTAGTTGTAGGTTTGAATGATGAAATGAAAAACTAGCATGAATAGGTTGAGTAACTAGACTTGTGTTTATATTATGAAAAGTAGACCCTTCCTTCTAATGTTAATCTCACAGGGGTATTCTAGTTTTTATGTGCATGTCTAGTTACCGATGGTGCTAAGGATGGTATATTGATGCACTCCGATTGGTATCACGCTTCAAAGGTCCATCTCTTATACCTTAGCATTATTTGATAGACATTACTCTCCCACAACTCAATTCCATGCATATGTGCAAGCTTTCAATCTAAACTCTTAGCACATATGTAGGGGGAGCTAATGCTACCATTTGGGGTTCATGAAACTTGTCCATATCCTTTTACACAAGGTAAATATGCTTGGGCAAGCAACATGAATTCAAATGAATTTGAATTCATATCTTTGTGAAAGGGTTGTCATCAATTACCAAAAAGGAGGAGATTGAAAGCTCTAGTTTGGTTTTTGTGAATTGATGAAACCCTAAGTGCTAACCTAGTTTATCAAAGTGATCATGAGATAGGTAGCACTATTCCAAGTGATGGAGCAATGGTGAAGATCATGATGATGGTGTGGTGACCATGATTATCAAGTGCTTGGACTTGGAAAAGAAGAAAGAGAAAAACAAAAAACTCAAGGCAAAGGTGAAACTTAATAGGAGCTTTATGGTTTGGTGATTGAGGCACTTAACAAGTGTGATCACATTTAGGATAGATGGTCATACTATTAAGATGAGAGCTCTTATTAGACAACTAGATCATCTAGTGCCACTAGGTATTGAAATACTTGCATTGCATTTTAGGCCTAGTGCACATTCGGTGAGAAATGATTAACCTTTGAAAAATGTTTGTGAAAATGATAACACACTTGCACGTGATGGTGAAACACTTAAAGTGTTAGCACATTTGCAAAGGTGGTGAAAAAAGGTGAAGAAAAGGAGGCGTAGTCGGGCTTGTGTTGCTGCCCCGAGGGCACCGCCACCCAAGTGGATTGCGCGTGGCTTGTGGATACTCATCTTGTGTTGGTTGTGCGGCACCCAGATGCGGGTTAGGCGTGTGATGCCTATTAGCGTGTGAACCTCTAAGTAAGTGAATCACCACAACGGGGAATAGCTTGCCGGCAAGCAAGTGAACCTCAGAGGAAAAAACATTGTGTCATGATTGTCTCCTTGGTATTCATTGATTGATCACTTGCCACAGCGGTATACCTCTCTACCACTCTCTTGTATTACATTATGTCTTTACTTGTGTAGAGCTTGTGATAGTTGTTACTAGTTAGTGTAGCTCTTAGTTGTAGTTCTCTTGCTACCTTGCTCACCTAGGTGTAAATTAGTAACTTAACCTTGGTGTGATATACTAGAGATCATAGACATTAGAATTGGGTAGGTGGCTTGCAACACAAGTGTAGTGCTAGCGCAAAATTCGCTTCGCCATCTTATTTACTAATCACTTGTGTTAGTGTTGTTATAGAATTTTTAATAGGCTATTCACCCCCCCCTCTAGCCATTAGGACCTTTCACCCTGTCACACCTTTTTTCTTCCTAGGCATGATGATGTTCTTTGATTAAGTAACCAAAATGGAAACATTGGAGAGAGTGCAGAGAGGAGAAAGGGATAAGTGAGAGAGAAAGAAATTTGACATTTATTATGTAAAGGGACCTGCATTAAATGAGATAGTTTCTATAAATAGTTTTTTGCTAGTGTAGTATCATGAAAACAGCACATAGTTTCATGCATTGGGGCTACCCTTAGACAAGGGAGGGTGACATGATTACATTTAAGATTGCAAATGTAACAAACACATATATAAGTAAAGAATTTATGGGAACAACACATAAACTCACAAAGGTCTTACAAACATGTTAAATTGAACAGTTAATTCCCATATTCACTTAAAGTGGCTTCCAGACCAACAAAAATACTTACATAGTGATAATACCTTAGACAATAACGTCGGTGTAGTCCATAGCTCATGCATACCATGCTTTAACAATGCATCTGCCTGAGAAACCATGTGAATGTTGTTGGATTCTAGGTATGACTGTTTCCCCCAATTTAAAACTAGATATGACAACAACACATGTACATACGCCTGCCCGCCGCAACAAGCTCCACAATCCCCCCTAATTTTGGGTATGACCATTTTTTTTCTTTTTCACTAGATAAAGAGGTTGCCACACCCCCACACCATCCATCCCCCCCCCCCACATGACCCAAAACATGTGAATGTGGTCACTGGATTTACCTTGTGAATACGGTAATTTACCTAATCCTCCTGAATGGGAGTATACTGCTCCGTGTTGCATGGGTTGTCGTGCAGCCGACGAGGCTAGGGAAGATCTGTCATTGGTGTCCTAGGATCGATTTTTGCAACAGATGCATCAGACTCAACTACAACATCTGTTTTAGACTTGCCATTTTTCTTCGATGGTGATTGGTAGAATACTTTATAGACTACAAATTTCCCATTGGTTTCATCTTCTTTTACACCAAGATGGTATTGATGCATCACCCAATTCTCTCTTTCTAGCTTGCCACCAACTTTCTTGGGAGCTTTATTAAGAACTAAGATCTTCTTCCATCCTTTTCTCACACCATTCTCACCAAATACGGGTTTGGATGATCTGGTCTTATGCCACAAGTTGTTCCCATTAGCAACACCGTCACAAATGTCACCAGTGGCCATAATCCAACGGCTTAGCTGGTAAGTGTGTCCGCCGCAACCCCCTCCACGACCCCCACCAACTTTTGTGTATGACTATTTTTTCCTTTTTCACTCAATTTAAGGAGGTTACCCCATCCACACCAGACTCTTGTCACACCTTTTTGCTTCCCAAGCATGACGATGTTCTTTGATTAAGTAACCAAAATGGAAACATTGGAGAGAGCGGGAGGGAGAAAGGGACAAGTGAGACAGAGATAGAAATTCGACATTTATTTCATAAAGAGACCTCAATTGAATGAGATAGTTTCTATAAATAGTTTTTTTGCTAGCTTAGTATCATGAAAACAGCATGTAGTTTCAAGCATTGGGGCTACCCTTAGACAAGGGAGGGTGACATGATTACATTTAACACTGCAAATGTAACAAATACATATATAAGTAAACAATTTATGGGAACAACACATAAACTCACAAAGGTCTTACAAACATGTTAAATTGAACAGTTAATTCCCATATTCACTTAACGTGGCTTCCAGGCCAACAAGAATACTTATATAGTGATAATACCATAGACAATAACGTCGGTGTAGTCCATAGCTCATGCAGACCAAGCTTTAATAATGCATCTGCCTGAGAAACCATGTGAATGTTGTTGGATTCTAGAGCTACTACGAGTTCAAAAGTTCTTAGCGTATAATCTGTTCCTAAGCATAGGATTAACCTCATGTGGAAAAATGAGGGTTTGGACCTTACTAGTCATCACCGGATTGATGTGATGGTTAGATCACCGGATTACTTTGCTAAGGGTCGGGCTAATGACGAGGAGGCACAGATGACCGTCGGAGGCACTAGAGATCTCATAGTTGTACATCAGGTGGGTCGGTTGGACCATGGTGTCATCGGGCCTGCTGCCAGGTTGTTGTTGCGCTACTACAGGTGGCCATTGGGCCCTGGTGGTTGGACTACCAATGTGCAGGGGGCATGGGCTGAAGGCCCAAATGGCAAGTTGGCTTGCTCCCCTCTATAAATAGAGGGATGGCTGGCCATGGGGGCACAGTTAGCACCCCTAGGACTTAGTGTCCATGCTTGGATGTGTGTTGTAGCTCTCTAACTTACATATGCTTAATGGTGATTGCATCTGATTGTGAGTGAGTGATTCCTAGTGCGGTGCATTGAGAGATTGCAAGAGTTGACACTAGATCGTGTTGCAAGCCGGTGATGCTTGTTACTCTTGGAGGTTTCCACCTCCAAGGCAGCTTGGAGGCTTGTGATCTCTGTTGTAGCATGCACGGAGATTGTGCGGAGCTCCGGAGAGACCGCAATTGTGAGGGGCATTGTGCTTGCCCCACGGGAGATTGCAAAGAGCAACTAGTAGTAGACCAAGGTGCGAGAGCGCCAAGTGGTCCAACCAGATCAAGTGCTTAAGCTCAAGTTGGGAGCACGCCTTGTGGGGCAAGAGTAGGCTCGTGGGCTTGCCACAAGCAAGAGGATTGGTGGCAACCTTGGGCCTGCCTCAACAGGGATTAAGTGGTCGACAAACTGTTGAACCTCAGAATAAAATTCACTATGTCAACATGTCTTCCCATTGGGTCGTAATCTCCTTCACTAGCTTGTATTTTTGTTTATTACTTGTGCTAGTGAGTAGTTGTTGCTCTATTGTAGCTAATTAACTTTTGTAGTAAATTAGTTGCACTCTTGTGCTAGTTAGCTTGAGTAACTTAGCTTAGCTTGTGTAGCTAAGTAGATATAGCTCTCTATTGTAGGTTGCTTTGTGCTTGTGCTCACTAGTATGTGTAGGAGCTTCCCAGTTATGCTTAGTTGACTAGTTGCATTTGTCTAACCTTGCTAACTAAACTACATTAAGTGAGCTCACTCTAGCTTGGTACCTTAGATATAACTTGTAGTATCTCTTGTAAGGTGCTTGTGATAGATAGCGGGGTGTAGTCTAGGCTAGACCGATTAGTTTTGATTCAACTTTTGTCAGGCTTATCCGGTGCAATTAAGTTTTAGAAATGACTATTCTCCCCCTCTAGTCGGCTCCTTGTTCCTAACACATGGTATCAGAGCCAATGTGTCGGGTATCAGTATTAGGGATACTTGGAAGAAGGAAGCTGACGGACACGAACGCTAACTCATCCGGATGGTCAAGAGCGTATTTTGGTCTCGCCCGAGCCCAAAGGTATGGGCTCCGTCTCGCCCGACCTCGACGGTGCGGGCTCCGCATCACCCGACCCCGAGGGTGCGGGCTCAGTCCCGCCTAACCCCTCGGGCGTAGACTTCGCCTCGCCAGACCCCTCGAAGGTGGATTCTGCCTTGCCCGACGAGGATCCATACCACCTCCAACCACAACGGGTCTAAGAGTACGAATCCAGGGTCAAACTTCTAACACCAAAAAGGGAGTAGGCGCATCTTGACATGACCCATGGCCACGATGGGCCATACCTGAGGACTCACATCGCCAACAGTGTCGGGCGTGTCGGCGCTATGCTACCTAATCCCCGTACGACTTTCGATGGGGGTACCTGTTGACCATGCTGCCCATTGGGATGAAATGGGGCACCATGACCGGCTGACAAAGCCTGTGTATAGCGCCAGTGATGAACAAGATCACGACATGGAGCCATCCCCATCATCATCTACAAGACCGATGGGACCCGCGTAAAGAAGATAAAGGGCGCCGTGACCCTGGAGGCCTTCTTCCTCGTCCTTTTCTCTTTTCTCTATCTCTCTCTCTCTCTCTTTCTCTCGTGCAACCTGCGCCTTACCCTTCATCTATAAAAGGGGAAGCAGGATGCCCGATGAAGGGCACTGTTGAAGGAGTTTAAGCATACTCAACTCCATTTGATCCTTTCATCAGAGACTTGGGACCTTCTCCCTCTCTCACCCCTTTGTAACCCCTACTACAAACAAGTGCCGGTAACACGAGCAGCCTCAAACTGGATGTAGGGACATTCCACCCAAACCAGTATCAACCCTTGTGTCCTTCGAGCACACCATCTGGGCTAGACGCGCAAACACAAATTTAATAGTCGGTGGTTCAAAACACCGATAGTTGGCATGCCAGGTAGGGGCCTTTTGCGCGTCTCATCATGCACAACAGGACGCGGATGGCTAGCCATGGCATTAGCTGGGTCCTGGGTGCGCACATGCGCTTCGAGAGCCTAGATTTCTTTGTCACCGCGAAGGGAGAGCTGGCCTCGAAGAGCCCTTGGCCTCGACACGACCGTCGAAGCCCTCGAAGAGCTGCAGCTGCACACCCTGGAGGCCCGTGTCCCAGGGAGCGACCAGCTCCTCGGCTTCACTTACAAGAGGCTAAACCGCTAGCTCGATGCCTTCCTAGGACCCCGACCATCCTAGGAGGACCTACGCTGCCACACCTTCTTGTTCACCAATGTCATGACGTAGCTTGCCAGAGGGGAACCGCTCCCCTCGGAATACCTCACCCGAAGCGCCCCGACAGCATTCCTGTTCGGTCTACGCAATGCCGCAAGGACTGTTGGTCTCCTCACTGCACAGCGCATGCACCCGTCCCCCATAGATGATGAATTCAAGGGTATGACGGACTATGTCACTGAATCCTTCCACGACATTCTCGTGGGAGATTCAGAGACGATCTCTGACTCTGACTCCAGCAGGGGAAGGCATCACCCCTCGTGAGAATGCTTCGTGGCAGACACCCCCGAGCAACGTGTCGAAAGCGTCCATGAGGGAGGGGCTACTCCTACGGTTGACCCTAATGATGAGGTCGAGGGAGATGCATGGGCCCCACCTCACCTGCAGGTGGAGTAGCTGAGGGCATGGCACAAGGAGATCGAGGATGCGTGACTCCAGCTAGAGCATGAGCATGTGGAGCTCGAGCGCGAGATTGAATGCTGTAGAGACAGTGGCCGTGCATGCGCCATCGCCCACGACATAAACTGGAGGATCATCGAGGATGATAGAGGCCTCCCGCACTTCACCCGGGCAAGCTAGAACATAGCTACAGCGGCGGCCTTGCTCTGAGGGCTCTCGGAGCCCACGACACCTGAAGACTGTTAGGCCCTTCGCGAGATCCACACGCTGCTCGAGCGCGCGGTGGTGCAGCAGGCGGAAAGCTTGTTGTCTCACTGACGCAAGCTCGATGCCAGTCAGCGTGTATCTTTGGGACGACATGGCTGGGACGTATCTGTCCACCAGGCATCATGTGACAGTAGGGGGATTGCCATGGTCCCAATGCATGAGCGTCTCGGCCCCAAACGTGACGCACGTAACACCCTGGACGCCCGTAGGCACGGATGGGGGGGACAAGAGAGAGGAGGTTGGCCACGGCTACCACCCTCATCACAAGAGATGCTACAATAGCGGCGAGGACCGGAGCCCGAGCCTCGATCTATCGAGGCCCCAGGCTTTCGACTGGCACATCCTCAACGTGGCTTTCCTGCCGCGGTATCGACCACCGACCAACATCCCGAAATACACTGGGGAAACAAACCCCGGCCTATGACTTGAGGATTACCGACTTGCTTGTCAAGCCAGCAGTGTGGATAGTGATTACTTCATTATCAGCAACCTTCCCTTGTTCATGGCCAATTTGGCACGGACATGGCTGGAGCACCTTCCGCCCAACCAGATTCAAAGCTGGGCGGACCTAAAGAAGATCTTTGTGGGAAATTTCCAGGGCACCTACATGCGCCCTGGGAACCCCTAGGATCTGAAGAATTACCGATAGAAGTCCGAGGAAACTCTCCATGAGTACATCTGATGCTTCTCTAGGCAATGCAATGAGTTGCCCAATGTCACCGACACCGACGTCATCAGAGCCTTCCTATCTGGGACCACCTACGAGTCTCTGGTCCACAAGCTAGGACACAAGGGCCCTCAGACCAAGGAGCTCCTCGACATCGCGACCTACAACGCCTTAGGTGAGGAGGCAGTCTGAGTGATTTTTTATCACCCCAAGGGCAAAGTGAAGAGGGACAAGGACACCGGCGAGGGCGCCTCCCACCGCCCGAACAAGAAGAAGAACAAGCAGCGACACGGGG